ATATAAAAATAAAAATGTTGAAGTAAAAAAATCAATTAAAAACTATCGAAGTTAAAATAATACGCACCCAATTAGTAATATTTATTGATAGATAAATTTCACAATATGTTAATGCAAAAGAAAAAAAAATGTAAAATATCTAATAGTGCCTTAGGCTTGTATTCCGTTCACCTGTTACACCCTATTTTTTCTAGACGGTAAAAAAGATCATTCAGAACGGAACAGTGCGACAAACGTGCACGCAACTTGTCTGATGCTAAGTGCCAGCATTTATAAATTAAATTTTTAAAGATAAAAACCAACTTCAAAAATTGTTATCCTGTAGAAGTTGCGTTAAAAAGAGAAGTTTGACGGTTTCTTTAACATTTACACGTATAAAACAATGTCTCAGTGGTTTGCTGTCTAATTTTTTGCAACATTTTTTAACGCCATTTAAAATTTTTCACTTTGTGAAAAATCTGTAGATTATTTTCTCCATTTATAATTTAATCAAACTGGATCGTCTTCTCAATAATTGTATTCGCTTTATCTTTGGCTTACGTAAATTCGATCACGTCTCTTCATTCCGTTCTCAGCTCAAATGGCTGCCTCTTCCACTTCGTAGATCTTTTAGAATCCTTTCTATGCTATTCTCTATTTTACACGATCCGTTTGTTCCTGCATATCTGAAATGCAAATTTCAGTATCAGGGCGATTCTCACAACCGATGTCTTCGTTCCGCGGAAAATCTAACTCTTCATGTTCCTCTCTGTCGCACGGGCTTCTCTTACAATTCTTTCACTTCAAATGCGGTAAGACTCTGGAACATGTTACCTAGAAATATAAAAGAAGCAAAAACTAAACCTATCTTTAAACGTTTACTCTGGGAATATTACTTAAAGAAGCAGTAGTAGTTTCGGATTATAATAAAAAATTTAAAAACTTCAGAAACTGTTATATTCTCAAGTATGTATAGTATAAAAATATCATATTTATTTATTGTGTATGTATTTATTGTGGGTATTTGTGTATATATATAAAATAATATTGTATGCATGTAAGTAGTAATGTAAATGTATATGTATGTGTATTGTTTATTATCATTATATTATAATTTTGTATTTTTTCCTTAAACCTTTAATTTTTTTTTTTAATTATGAGTTTTCCACCCATCACTAGATTCTCTGCACAAACCAAAGGTAGACTGGTAGAGAATGCCTTTAGGCATTAAGTCCGCCTTTTTGTACATTTCTTTTATGTGTGCAAATAAAGCTTAAATAAAATAAATAAATTAATATAAAATAGAACTAATTATTCAAAAAGAAACATTTATCCATACATTTTCCTTACAAATTAACTTACACCGCTATGAAATCTGTGAAATATTTCACCTCATTTTTATGTGGCACCGCCCACTTAATGAAAGTCATGGACACCTTCATTATTCCAATACTATAAATATTTGTGAATATTTTATATAAAAATGATAGTACTAACCATATCTTCCACACTGAATTTTGGACAGGACAGGATTCTTATACACATATATATATATATATATATATATATATATATATATATATATATATAAATAAAGATCTTTATTTCTCAATAACACAATAGTCACTAGAACAATAACTATATGAACTTAGTAATAACAATTTTTAGTGCGGGTATAAATAACTTTGTTGGATGTCGCTTTTAAGAAGCGAATATCTTTGTTGTTTATTCAAACTATAAGGTGGTGGTCCAAGTTTAATAATGTTTTTTATTTTTATTTAATAATGATTAAGGTTAGGTATTTAGCTGTTGTGAATATAGGTAGGCAAGTAACTTCTGTTTGAAAACATTCAAAGATTTCGCCTCCTTTACAAATTTAGGTAGTTTGTTGTATAACTGTGCTCCTTTATACGTTATATTATTTTTACCATAGTTTGTTCTTATAGGCGGCAATACAAGGTAACTAGCTCGGCGTGTTATATATTTGTTTGTTTGCTTCTTTGTTAAAAATGTGAGTTGTGTGTGGATTAATTTATGTTTTATTTTGTATATTAGTATGCATGTGCTATATGTATAAAGTTGAGTAACGTTAAACAGTTTAGTTTCCTTATATATTGTATTAGTTGGTGTTAAAAAGTCATAGTTATACAAAGTTTTTATGATACGGTTTTGTAGCACTTGGAGAGGTTCAAGATTGGTTTTGGCTGTATTACCCCATACCTCTACAAGGTAAAGTAAGTGAAGTTTTGCTAGAGAGTTATATATTAGGATTCGGGCTTTTTTTCGGAATACATCGAACTATTTTGTGAAGGCAGCCAACGAGAGACGAAAGTTTGTTTTTAATATGCGTGAGATGTGCATTCCAAGTCAAATTACTGTCGAGAATCAGTCCAAGGTATTTTTCTTGATTTTTTATTTGTAACGTTTCTCCGTTTATAGTCAAAGTAAGGTGGTTTTGGTTAGGGAGTTTCTTGTTCTTGGCGCTGAAAATTATATATGAGGTCTTGGCTACATTAATAGTTAGGAGATTATACTGAAACCATTGATGGAGTAAGTTTAAGTCTTCTTGAGCTAGTGTTATGATACGAGATATATTGTTTCCAAAGTAGAATAAACACGTATCATCTGCGTAAAGGGATATTTGACCTTGTAAACCTGCTTGGTTTATGTTGTTGATGTATACTAGGAATAGTAATGGACCGAGGATAGAACCCTGAGGCACGCCACACGTTAAGAGTTTGGGTTTACTTTGAATGGATCCAATTTTCACTACTTGGTAACGGTTGCTCAAGTATGATGCCAACATTTTGTATACTTTTCCAGTGACGCCAAAATTTTGTAGTTTTTTTAAGAGAAAATTATGGCTAACTGTGTCGAAAGCCTTTTTTAGGTCCACAAATATTCCCAGTGCTACTTGTTTTTGATCAATTTTTGTTTTTAATGTAGTTATCAGGTCAATTATTGCTCCCAGGGTACTAGGTTTTGATCGGAAACCATACTGTTTGTCGTACATAAAGTTGATTTCAGTTAAATAGTCGTCTAATCTCCTGTATATAATTTTCTCTAAAATTTTGGATAGTGTAGGTAGAACTGATATGGGACGGACGGTACCAGACTTATAAATTGGAGTGATTTTGCCTATTTTGAGGTTGTCCGGGAAAAATCCTTCAGTTAACAATCGATTTAGGCAATTAGTTATATTTTGGACTACTAAACTTTTAATACATTTGATACTTGATACTAACTCCGTCTAGACGTACACTAGTATTGGGGTCCAGATCATCAATTATTTTTGTTATTTCATTGACGGTGCATGGATCGAATTGAGACAGTGTACGGTGCGACATGCCAGGATCAAGGCTCGGTACTGTGTGTGTTGTTGTGTTATGGAACTCACGCGGTATTTTATTTGCCAGTTGTGTTCCTATGTTAGCAAAAAAATTATTGAATTTTTCACATATTTCTAGGGCATCCGAAATTATTATACCATTTTTGGCTTTTAGGTTTGGTGGAGCACAGTGATTAACATTTTTATTATTTGACAGTGTTTTTATAAGATTCCACATTTTTTTAGGTTTATTTCAACATTTTGTGAATTTACCGTAAAAGTAATTTTCTTTTGTGTTCTTGATTTTTTGTGCCAGAGAATCTCTTTTAGTTTTGAACTCTTTTTCTAACTGTTCATTTTTTGGATCACGTTTTAGTTTACTCCATAGCACATTTCTCTCATTAATTGCTGCTATTAAATGCCTGTTAATCCACTCTTTTTGGGGTTGATTTAGTATTTTTTTTTGGTTTCACTAATGAGCTTTTTAATGTATTCATCAAATTCTTTATAATCGTGTGTATTAATTTTGAAAGTTGATGTTTTAACCATCTCGTATAATTTCTTGAAGTCTGTAGACTCGTATTGTATTCTTTGTTTCTTTGGGGTGATTACTTTTTTCAATTCCACATAAATATTTTTATGATCTGATAATGATGAGTCAATTATTGCCATATGAAAACTGTTTTCGTTTAAATTAGTAGAAACGTGATCTATTATTGTACACGTTGTTGTGGTTTCCCGAGTGTTATATTTTGGATCTCTTTTGTTAATCAACTTGTATCCGGATTCAGTTAGTGTTGTTTTGTAGCGGCGGGCTGAACTGTCAGAGCTTAATAAGTCAATATTTGTATCATCAAAAATAATGGTTCGTTTCTTATGTACAAGTTGTTATTCATAGTTGAAAAAAAAATTGTTGATGTTTGTATGTCCAGGCTTGTAGACTACTCCAACATTGAGGGCGTATTTGTGAAGGCGAATACTCAAGTAGTGATTTCCATCAATATATATTGCAGTGACAAGATCCTGTTCCAGATTATTGTGTACGTAGATAGAAACACCACCACCGATGACATTAGGTCGTAAATTATAGTAATGAGTATAATTTTGAAGAGGAAATTGTTTAGCTTGGTCGTCTGATCTGATCCATGTTACGGCAGGTAAAACAACGTGAAAAGTTTTTTTAAAGAGTGGATGATACAATTAAGTTCGTCAAATTTACCTGGCTTGCATATACTTCTCACATTTGCATAGAAGAAGTTAAGGCTTGATTTGGTAGGAGTAATATTCTGGTAATTGTCTGAAATTTGATGGGTGATAAGTTTTGTTTAATCATGTTTGAGGTCGTAGGAGAATTAATATTTTGAGCTATTAGTTTTTTGTGTTCCTGGTAGAAATTATTTTCGGAAACTCTTTTATGTATTTAATAGTAATATCCTGTTCCCCCATTGGCTATTCTTTGGGATAACTCTATCTTCAGATCTTTTATATATTTCTGTTGTGCAGGTGTTTGGTCAGAGAAGATTTTTATGCCACTCTGGATTTTGTTCTTGTTGCGTAGTAGAAGTTTGGCTGTTAGCGGGGATTCAAAGCATACTTTAATATTTCGATTTTTTGCAGGTGTAAACTTCCCGAGTCTAAAGAGTCTACTAGGCTTAGGAAAGTCCTCCACAATTGTATTAATAATTTTTGTTACTTCGCTAGCATCGTAAGAACGCCCTTCCTCGCTGTTAGTCACATTTCCCTCTTGTAAACCCACTATGATGATATTTCTTTCTCTGGATGTACGATCTTGTATTTCTTGCATTATATTTTTCCCAAGGCCAGATGAGTGTAAGTTTATGGCAGTCTTACTTTTAATTAACATGATTTCAGACTCATTAGCATTAGTTTTGTTATTTATCTGTTTAATTTCTGTCATCAATGTCTGGATTTTATTATCTGTATAGTTTGTTTTTATTACTAGATCTGACAGCTGGGTCTTCATTAATTTTTGCTCGTTGTTCAGGTTTACAGTAGCTTCTTTAATATCATTTAACTGGGTTCTCATATCTACTATATTTTCACGCATGAGGGTCATTGTTGTTTCTTGCGTGTCTGTGAATTTTTGTAGCATTGTTGTAAGGTCTTTACGTAACTCTTGAATTTCAGACGAACAATTGCAATTGCAAATACTATGTTCTGGCTGTTTGCGTTTTCTATGAGTAATTTGTTGTTCCATCGTAAACTCGTTATTAGGTGACGATAAATTAGTGTACGAGTTACTTTTTCCAGGTGGTGAGCGTCTGACATTCATGACTTGTACCATACACCAAGAACAACGTCACAACAAATCGCTAGTGCAATGATGTCTTTATATTAGTGCTCGTATCTTCCCGGTATCGAGACCGAGATGAAAAATATAATATTGTCTTTGATACCCGAGGTGGTGCGGGGCGCCTTTGTGGTTCTTGATCCGTATTGGCTAGTCGTAAGCGCACATTACACACTTGTTGAATATTTTGCTTTATTATTTTAGATTAAGGTTTACTATAGCGAAAACACAGTTTTTTTGCTTTTAAAGAGACAACCAAATGCACGTCTGCTCAGTATAATACCGCACTACTCACTTCATATATATATATATATATATATATATATATATATATATATATATAAAATAAATATATATTAACTTTGGCCTCTCAGTATATCTGTGAAAATTTGATGTATGCTCACAAAAACAAAGGTAGTTTTAGTAAAAAAAGTGACATACACTCTGTAAACACTAGGAACAAACACAAGCTAGTGATACCAGTTTCTCGACCCCACCGACTCAGTAATTCATTCTTGGGACTTATTCTATTAAAGTATACGCTATTACAACAAAGTCCCAGAAAATATACAAGGTCAGTCTATTACTAAATTTAAATATTTAATTTAAACAAAAACTGTACCAAAAGGGTTACTATAATATAAATGAATACATGATAGATAATAACCCTTGGGAATAAGGTGGTCGCTTCCAAGCTATTTCTAAAATAAATTTTGTAAATATTTTGTGACCATAGACATTGTAATTTTTTTTAAAAAGGCCGACTGGGTTTCTTGCTGGTTCTTTCCAGGACAGAGGTTTTTTATCGAACTAGTGGTAAAGTAAAAAATTGACTTTCAGTAAGAATTAATTGTAATCTATATTGAATAAAAAAATATTCTATTGTCACGAGCTTGAGGTTCGTGACAATAAAAACTGCCGATTGAATTACCAAATAATTTTTCACATTGATTCACTTTATTTTGCTCCGAAGCTTCGCTTGTCTCGCCAAATTCAATACCGCCCGATCGCGGCTTACAGCGGCTTTAAATACACCTTTTCACTGAAACATCCAGAATATTCCAGTAAATACGGGCGCCGACTGACCAGGCGCAGAAAGTTCGAGTGTGGGGCTTCTAGAAAGCTTAATTCTTCTGTTCAATACTAGATGGCGCTGTTAGTGAAAAGTTCGAAATTGACATTTTCTAGGAAGCCCTCCTCGCTCTTGTTCCCGGCACTAGATGGCGCTAGTGCCAGGTACCAGACGTCAATTTAGACGCGCAATATTGCCCCCTCCTAAGACATGCTCGTCCCGAGCATTATCGGCCCCATAATAACGCGCTAGGCGATCCACATGGACGATCTTAGGAGTCCCTTTTTGCGCCTTTCTGTGTCCGATAGGTTACATCGTTGACCCTGATCACAATCCGCTATGGGCCGTCCCATTTAGCTTGAAGCTTAGGAGATTTCCCTTTGCTGCGGATTGGATTGTGCAACCACACTAGTGAACCTTCGTCGAACCCTTTGTTGTTCATTTTGCGGTCATACCGGGTTTTCATCTTTTCGGACATTTGCTGGCCCGATTGCCTGACGTGCTCATAAATGTCATTCATTTTGTTACGCAAGTCATTAGCATAATCGGTTATACTGCGTGGGGCATCAGGTGGTATCCCGGTGACTAGGTCTGCAGGCAGCCGTAATTCTCTTCCAAAATTTGCGAAAGCTGGTGTCACTGATGTACTTTCGTGAACAGCACTTCGATATAACAACAAAAACGGTTGTGTATGCTTGTCACAATCTCGTTGCCGACTGTCTACAACTTTTGCTTGGTACCTCTCCAATGTTAATGATTATATTATGATAAAATGATTAAATCGTTCTACCATTCCATCAGATTGCGTGTGATAAGAAGTCGTACTTGTTTTATGAGTACCCATTTTTCGGCAAGTTTCCTGGAATATTTGAGACTCAAAATTCCTTCCTTGGTCGCTGTGAATCTCTAAAGGTATTCCAAAACGACAGAAGACTTCATGAACTAGTCGATTTGGAATAGCGAAGACTTCTGGCCACTTAGTGAAGTAATCCATCACAACCATGAAATACTTGTTACCGCTTTCACATTCCGGAAACGGCCCCGCCACATCAATGGCTATTCTTTCCCATGGTGCACCAACATTATACATTTTCAATGCACCTGTACTACGAGTCTGAGGTCCCTTTACAGCCGCACAACTTGTACATTTGCAACACCAGTCCTCGACATCGTTTCGACAGTGGACCCAGTAAAACCGTTCTCGGATCTTCAGTAGAGTTCGTTTAACTCCCAGATGGCCTCCTGAACAATCATTACGGTACAGCTGTAGAACATCCGGTACTTTAGCTTTAGGGACAACCATTTGCAAATGACAGCTGTCTCCCCGGACATTTTCCCATTTACGGCACAGAACTCCATCCTGAAGCAGCTAGCTGTCCCAATAGCCCAAGAGCTTTTAGTGGTCGAACTCATCGCTGAGACGTCGCTCCACTTGGGCTTGGGAGCACTGGCCTTCATCCATTGCAGAATCGGCTTGATATCCGGATCTTCCTGCTGTGCATATTGTAAGCTGTTCTTCCACTCGTTGCTGAGGTGGTCTGTTCTGAGCATTCTCACGGATACCACTTCCTTATTCTCTTGCCTAGTACAATGTTTGCAATCTTCGGGACAAGGTCTTCTTGACAATGCATCTGCGTTGCCATGAGATTTCCCGCTGCGATGTTCGATCTCTAAGTCGTATTCCTGCAGTAGTTCAATCCACCTCACAACTTGTCCTTCTCGATTTTTAAACTGCAATAGCGATTTTAGTGCAGCATGGTCAGTTCGTAAGTGAAATTTCCGCCCCAGAAGATATTTGTTAAAATTTTGCAACGACTTTACCACAGATAGCAATTCCCATCTTGTGACACAATAGTTCATTTCCGGTTTTGAAAACGACTTGATGAAATACGCTATCAAGACCTCTTGGTCACCATTCCGTTGAGACAACACACCGCCAAGTCCTATATCACTTGCGTCTGTGTCAACTATAAATTCTTTGCTTGCATCAGGGTATCCCAAAATAGGTGTTTTGCACAGACGGTCCTTGAGCTCCTGGAATGCGATATTGCAACTTTCATCCCAGCGGAAATGTCGCTTCTCCTCGGTTAGCTTGTGCAGAGGTTTGGCTATATCTGCAAAGTTCTTCACAAATCGCCGATAATAGGAGCACAAACCCAAAAATGCGTCTTGTTTTTTGCAACCGGCCAATCCTTGACAGCGGCGATTTTCTCCGGATCCGTGCGAATAACTTCTTCCGACACTACATATAACATAACATAACGTAAACACTAACGCCTGTCACCCAGAGGGGTAGGCAGAGAATACAGACTTCCATTTGGCACGATCCTGACACACCTCTCTTGCCTCCTTCACATCAATACACCTACGCATACATGCTCGTCGGTTAAGGGTACTCCTAATTTGGCCCGTTTTCAATAAATCGCCAATTTGGTCGATAAATTTTCGCCTAGGACGTCCCTTTCCGACTCTGCCATTCACTTCTGCACCATAAATTTTCTTTGTCACTCTTTCCTCATTCATTCTTTCCGCATGACCAAACCACCGAAGCATTCCTTTCCTAATCCTGGTCACAACATCATCTTGCAAACCACACTCTTCTCTTATTACACAATTTCTTACCCTGTCATTCAGATTCAGCCCTAACATACTCCTTAACGACCGCATTTCTACTGCGTTTATTCTACTCTCGTGCTTCTTCTGCCACACCCAACTTTCACTACCATACGTTAAAGTAGGGACCAACACAGCATTGTGAATTGCCATACGTGCCTTTTTCGACACATTTTGACTCTTCACAATAGAGTGCAAGGCCCCATTTACTCTATTTCCCGCATTCACTCGTCGTTCTATATCCTTATCATATCTCCCATCCCTGCTAAATACGCAGCCCAAATATACAAACTCATCTACTTGCTCGATCAACTCCCCTTCTATTCTTATTTCACAAATCGTTTTACTTTCTTTTCTTTCAAAAACCGTAACCTTCGTCTTACTTGCGTTCACTTTCAGACCCCTTTCTTTTAATGATCCGTTCATTAATGTAACCATCATTTGCAACTCGGCCGCCGACGACGCAAGAATAACTTGATCATCGGCGTACAAAAGGCATTTGACGGTTAACTCACCCATTCTTAATCCGCATTCTTCCACTTTCAAATTTTGCAAACAACTGTCCATAAATAGGTTGAACAGCCACGGGGAAGCCACACAGCCCTGTCTGACACCTTTATGGATGTCAAACCAGTCCGAGTAGACCCCGTTGATCCTAACACAAGCACTAGAGTCCCTATAAAGAGCCTCCAATGCCTGTATCAAGCCAGCGCTCAACCCAAACGAGTTCAGTGTTTGCCATAGCAAATCCCTATCCACTCGGTCATAGGCCTTTTCCAAGTCCATGAACGCACAAAAAACCTTATGGTTTTTGGCCAGAAACTTCTCCGCGATCATGCGCATGGAAAAGACTTGATCTGTACATCCCATTCCCTTTCTAAATCCCGCTTGCACATCCCAAATTTTACCATCAGTTTCTTTCATGACCCTTTCAATCAGTACCTTAGCATACAGTTTTCCCACAATGCTAAGAAGGCTGATGCCACGGTAGTTTTTACAGTCCTGCTGCGACCCTCTTCCTTTATATACTGGGACTATCACGGCTTTGCACCAGTCTACCGGTACCCGCTTCAGTTCCCAGCATAAATTAAACAAGGTGTGCAGCAGGCCTGTCACCACTTCCTCTCCAGCCCTTAGCGTTTCGAGTGAAACTCTATCATATCCGGCAGCCTTACCTGCTTTCATGCTTTTCATTGCTTTCATTATTTCATCTATACTTATCTCGCTACCTCTTTCCTCTTCTTTCGATGTTTCTACTTCACTTAGTATATACGTTGTCTCCTCACTCATAAACACGTTTTCAAAATTATCCTTCCATCTCTTTAAACTCAAAACTTCATCATTCAGAATATAGCCATTCTCGTCTCTTATAGCATTCATCATAGGCTGTTTTAAATGTCCCCTGGCAGTTCTTACAAGTTTCCAGAACATTTTAATATTTGCCTGGAAGTTATCCGATATTCTTCTATCATTCTTATCCGTTCTTTCTTGCTTTTTTCTTTCAACTACTTCTTTTACTCTCTTATTAAGATGTCTAAAGACTGCCTTTTTTCTTTCAATATCACCATTCGTACCACTAGAATTAGCAACCTTTGTTGCTAGTAAATCTAGCCATGCTCTCTTCCTGGCTTCAACTTCCATACGTATCTCATCATCCCACCATAACGTATTATTTTTACTTTCATTCTTTCTCTTACTAATACCACATACTTCGGTAGCTGCATCCACTAAACCTTTCTTTACATTTTGCCATATATTCTCCAAGTCTAACTCCTTCATACATAATTCATCCAAACCACTTATATTTTCTTTCAGTCTACATTTGAACTTGTTTTTATCACTTTCATCTTGTGACCTTTCTGTTCTAATACGCTGTAACGCAGTGGTAGACACAGACGATCGATGGCGCCAACGCCTGAATAGACCATTAATTCGGCATAAAACTAAATAATGATCCGTTCCTACGTTAGAACCCCGGTAAACTCTCGTATCTACCACTGCGCCCCTCAACCTTTCATCTACAATTATGACAACTCGACACTACCCGACACAATTCCGACACTACATACCCCAAAAAGTTGACTTGCCGTGTGAATAGTGGACATTTCTTCGGACTCAACTTGAGGTTGGCACTCTGAATCTTCATGAGCACGATCTCGGCGGAAGAACAATCTTCTTAATGCTGTACACGTTCCCTGGTAACGCACCTTCGATAAAATTTCCTCCTGTCCACATTTCAAAACACTTTGCTTAACGTCGATCTCACAACAATTATTCCTCATAAAGTCTAGGTCCAGGATGCATTCGTCCATTATATCAGCCACGATCACACTATGCAGGTAGATCATGTTGCCTAGCTTCAACTACTAGTAGCTCCATCTCCTTCTCTCCATGGACGGGTATACGCTGACCGGTGGCTGTTACCAAATTAATGCGTTCTCGGTTGTATGCGGAGTCTCAAGGAACTGACTTATAAGTTGGGAACTAACAACCGTACGAGAGGCTCCAGTGCCTATAGTCAGTTTACACGGCATTCCGTTGACCTCGCCATTGATGATTAGACTGTTCCCATCATGGGTTTGTGAGATCGAGATCCTTGGGGATCCTTGGGGGGGATTAACATCAGCCAGCACCCGCCCCGCGGTTCTAGCTTTTACTCGTTTCCCTGCTGCTGCTGGGCGGTGCTGTTGGCCGCACTACCCTCCTGAGATCGTTCACCTTCCCTTTCTAGGGTTCACTTAGGGCAGCTGGATCGAAGATGGCCTCTTTCCCCACAGCCATAGCACTTATGGCTGTATCCTTTATTGCGGTCGCAAACTGTAGCTGCTGCAACCTCCCTGACGCGATGGGAACGATGTTCCTGCCGCACGGTTTTCACTTCCTGTGCATGGGCCAAGGCGTCCTTAAGCGTCGCGTGGTGCCCGAGCCTCACAGCAGCTCTGACTTCCAGGTCGCAGACGTCGTCGATGAATGTCTGCACCAGGTTCCCTTCAATGAGCGCAGGTACAGACCGGTATGCTTTTTGCACCAGCTTCTCCACCTCTAGAGTCCACTGCTGCAGGTTTTCGTTGATTCGCTGCACGCGATCTTTAAGTTGTGCACAAAAGACGTGTTCCAGGTGAGCGTCGCCATATCTCGCCTCCAATGCCTCAAAAAGCTATGAGCAGCTTCGTCACTTTCTCATCAAGAACAAACTACAGTACAGTTTCGACAGTAGCCTAATGGCAGGGCGCGGACCGCGAACTCAAAAAGGTCGTGGTTCAAATCCGTCATTCGACTACTGACGTGAACCACTCTTAACACAAGCAATTTAAGCTTACCACGAGTGGTTAAGGGGAATATTAGTAATGTTTATAGCATTGTTAATATTCTTTTTTTTTAAAAGAGCTTCCAGATCTGTTAAGGCCTGGTCGCGCAGGCCTAGTGTGAGAGCAGTTACAAACTTGTGTCTGAAGTCAAGTCTTTGCTGAACAGAGTCTCGGATTGGGGGCGACTAAATCTAGTCCAGTTTAACCCCCAGAAGACACAAGCTTGCGCGTTAACCGCTAAAAAGAACCCCTTTGTCGTTTCCCCTCAGTTTCAAGGCACTCCCCTTATTGCCTCACCCAGTATCGGAATCTTCGGCGTCGACATATCGAGTGACGTGCAATTTCGTCGTCACTTGGAAGAGAAGGCCAAATTGGCCTCTAAAAAGCTTGGCGTGCTCAGCAGAGCGGGACAGTATTTCATGCCGGCACACCACCTGCAACTTTACAGGGCGCAGGTTCAGCCGCATATGGAATACCGTTCCCACCTCTGGGCTGGGGCTCCCCAGTACCAGCTCCTTCCACTTGACCGCATCCAGCGCAGAGCAGCTCGAATCGTAGACGACCGAGTGCTTTCTGATCGGCTCGATTCACTGGCGCTGCGAAGAGATGTAGCATCTCTGCATTTTCTTTCGCATATACCATGGAGAGTGCTCTGAGGAATTGTTCGTATTAATCCCAGCCGCCAAATTTCATGAACGCACTACGCGGCAAACGTCCCGATACCATTCACACCATCTGGATGCTGGACCACTGTGGTGGACCGCTAAGCATCCACGTTTCAAAGGGAGTTTTCTTCTGCGTAAAACCTCTCTGTGGAATAGTTTACCACCGGTGATTTTTCCGGACCGATACGACCTGGGGACCTTCAAGAAAAGAGCTTACTCCTTTCTAAAGGGCCGGCAACGAACCTGCAATTCCCCTGGTGTTGCAGTTGATCATGGGCGGCGGTAGTCACTTAACATCAGGTGAGTCGCATGCTCGTTTGCCCCCTCTTTTATAAAAAAAAGCATTATATTCGAGGGTGCGTTTTTAAGTTACAAGGGTAGTATAGGTAATAATTGCTAATTGAACAACTCGTTATTAGTATAAATACCGGGTTTTATTGTAATTAGATCATTAGTCTTTGAATTATCGTCAACCAAACAAGTCAATCGGGAAGAAATCATTAAATATGGAGAAAATCGAGTTCCGTACCGTAATAAAGTTCCTTACCAAGCGCGGAAAATCAGTTCGGACTATACTGGAAGAGATGTCATCCGTTTACGAAGACTCTTGTCCAAGTAAAACTATGGTTTACAAGTGACATACTCTTTTCAAATAAGGCAGAGAGTCACTTGAAGACGACCAACGGCCAGGAAGGCCGATCTAGGTGATCACTTCGGAAATCATTCAAAAAGTCGAAAAATTAATATTAGAAGATAAAGAAAAAATAGCGCGCGGAAATGGTTGGAGTATCAGATACAACCATTTTCAAAATTCTTCATGACAATATTGGCATGACTAAAGTCAGCGCAAGATGTGTGCCTAGAATGCTCACGCCGCCTCAAAAGCAACAGCGCGTGGAGTGTTCTCGTGCATTTTTGGACCTCTGTATGGAAGACAAAGATGGAGTGTTGGCTCGAATTGTTACTGGTGATGAAACTTGGTTTCACCATTATGAACCTGAGTCCAACCAGGACTCTATTCAGTGGCACAAAAAAGGCATACCACCACTCAAGAAACTTAAGGTGGCACGATCGGCTGGGAAAATCATGGCGACAGTCTTTTAGGACTCAGAAAGAATCTTATTGATTAATTATAAAGATAAAGGTGTCTTCATAACTGAAAATTACTATGCTTAGATCCTAGAACAATCGAAGGAAACCATAAAGGAGAAAAAAAAGGGAAAATTGATCAAAGGAATCCTTCTTCTGCGCGACAACGCGCCTGTTCACAAGTGCCATGTTGCAACGGCTGTCCTGCAGAAGGTGGGCTTCAAAATTTTGCCACCTTCACCCTATAGTCCTGACCTTGCCCCTAGTGATTATTATCTATTTCCAAACTTAAAAAAAGAACTTCGTGGGAAAAAGTTTTAAGTGATGAAGAAGTGAAGGAATTTGGGCGTATTTTTTAGACAAAGATGAAACATTTTTGAGGGTATACATAAGTTAATTTAAAGATCCGAAAAATGTATTAGGGTAGCGGGTGAATATACTGAAAAGGAAAAACAAATTTGGATTTTTATTTCCACTCCTTACCCTCAATTCCGCGAACTTTAAAATGTCCCCTCGTATTTCCTCACTCTCATAGTCCGATGGGACGGCAACACGATACAACCTCCGGTTCTTTAAACTCACCATATGAAACACAGTAGCATTAATCTGTTATTTCACGATGGTTTTCTGTGGGAGCGTGGTCTTTCCCCGTTCCGACACATTTTTGTTCAAACTAGTGTTGCCCAAAATCGGTCTTGGTCTGGCAGTCTTGGTCTTGTTCATGCATTTTAGCAAGACCAAGCCAAGACTGGGAGCGCAATACCAAGACCAAGAACAAGACCAGGTGCATTGGCGCAATACCAAGACTGGGTAATTCTCGTCTTGTTCTTGCATTTGGGCAACATTAGTTCAAACCATAATATAGCTGCAGCGTGGCTTTACCACGTAAATAATTTAATAACCAAGAAAGAGAAGGACTTGTAGCGAATCTATTCCTGGATACATACCTGAAAATTAGGATCGGGTGTAAGTCCGGGTTCAATTCGTAAATTGGGTGACAGACAGCAGGTGTCTAAGTAGGAAGAACAGGGACCATCACGCATTCTGTAAAAATAAACATTTTATAAGGAAATATTACGTGAACTTTTACCCAGTGGACTTTAATAGGCTGTGATGGTAATCTCAAGTTATTTTTTTTATAGGAAATGTGTAACAAGCGAGCACACAGCCCACCTGATGGTAAGTGGTTGCTGTGGCCCATAGACATCTACATCTATCCTCGATTACGAATTAAAATGCAGGTTCGTTGTCAGCCTTGAGGACTAAGATGGAAAGTAAAAAGGGTATCCGGTTCTCTACACTCACCATACGAAACACAGCAGCATTAAGCTGCTATTTGACGCTGGTATTCTGTGAGAGCGTGGTCCTTCCCCGGTCGAGCCGACCCATTTGTGCCCATGCTATACAATTAATATAGCTGCAGCATGATTCTATCACGTAAAACATAAAATTTGACTGCTTAGGCGTCTTGGGGCACCATCGTCATCCACTATCTGCTGGTTTAAGCTGGTGTCACAATCCTCCGAAAATTTGTAGTATTGTGTATTATAAGACAGCGTTTGATGTTTATTTTTTTTTGGCTAAAGGCCTCGTAGCCAATACAACAATAAATTAAAAAAAACTTACCTGATGTCGATCACATTGCTGCCATCAGTGTTGGCGGTATTATTGTTGTTGCAGAGATAGTATATGACGCACTCCCCAGGCAGCCTGTCGCTGGTTATACAGCTCTCGACCGTCTCCTCTGTGGAAGGCAAAAATATTAGGGTCATAGGCAAAGATTAGTAATATATTTTTTTTATACAGAGCCACAGCATCCACTTATCATCAGAATCAAAAAGCAGATGCATTATCACCCCTGAAGACTAAGATGGAATGCCTCATTTCCAGTATAAAAGGGTCTCCGTATCTCTACACTCACCATACGAAACACAGCAGTATTAAGCTGCTATTTTACGCTGGTATTCTGTGAGAGCGTGATCCGTCTTCGATTAAGCTGACCCATTTGTGCCACAACCGTAATATAGCTGCGGCGTGGCTCTATCACGTATAATGTGTAGAAGAGAGTCGTACGTGCTCCTGTCTGAACAAATGGTATGGTTGTATTGGTAAAGGGTTGATCAATGCCTCTTTAGAAAATTTCAAAAAGTAAGAAGTTCTCAATTCGACTGTATGTATTGGATATATTCGTATGTTACGCAATATTAAAACCAATTATGCATGGTAGAGCCACGCTACAGCTATATTATGGTTGTAGCACGAATGGGTCGGTTCGACCGGGGAAGGACCACGCTCTCACAGAATACCAGCGTAAAATAGCAGCTTAATACTACGCAAGTGTTTCGTCAGATTTTGAGTGAGTGTAGAGAGTCGAAGACCCTTTTTACTGGAAACTAGACATTCCATCTTAGTCCTCAGGGGTGACAACGCATCTGCATTTCGATTCTTCATCGAGGCTAAATGTAGATGTCTATGGCCAACAGCAGCTTGTTACCTGATGGCAAGTGGATTACTATCAGGTGAACTATGTGCTTATTTGTCACCCTTATTCAATAAAAAAGAACCAATGATTCTTTTTTGAGTGAGAATGAGTTTTTTTTAATATAACTGGATGACAAACTAGTACGCAGTCCCCTGATGGTAAGTGGATCCTGTGGTCCATAAACATCTTAATTTATCCTCAATTAGGAATCAAAATACAAATGCGTTGTAATCCCTGAGGACTTAGATGGAATGCCTCGTTTCCAGTAAAAATAGTATCCAGTTCTTTACACTCACCATACGAAACACGGCAACATTGAGCTGCCGTTTTACGTTGGTATTCCGTGAGAGCATGAACCTTCCACGGCCGAACTGACCCATTTGTGTTACAACCATAATATACCACGTCGCCCTATTTTGATTATTATATTCTTGTTATTTCTTTGAAGGTTTTACTTTATTGAGAGTTGGTATCGAAGCAATATCATAAAAAGTTTAATTCCGTGAAGTAGCGGTGAACAAATATCCACTAACTCATATCGTACCCTGGGCTTCGTTAGAGAAAAGAGGGGTAAACAAACTAGGAGATGGGTAACAGCGTCTTTCTGACCTTAATTAAAAACTAAAAAACTGCGATAGTCAACCCGCCTACATACATTGAGTGGCAACTATGGCAAACATATGAGACAATCTATGGGGGAGGCCTGTGTTCAGTAGTGGAGTTTCGATAGGCTGTAACCGGAACGGCGGCATATCATCTTAGTCCTCAGGGGTGACAGTGCATCGGTATTATGATGCTTATTCTGGGCCACAGCATTCACTTATCACCAGGTGTACTGTATGTTCGTTCCCCCTAATTCAATATGTTTCGTTTACATATTTTTTTAAAATCTTTATTGCGTCCCCTTAGAAAATAAAGGATACAAAAGTTCGGACTTAATGCCTAAAGGCATTCTCTAGCAGTCAACACATGTAATCGTGAGAATTTTTTGTAGGTGTAGCAATTAATAATATAATAAAAAAACTTCTATGGGAGTCGTTTCGAAAAAGCTTGAGGTATATACCTCCAGCATCGGTTTCTAGAGCCTCATTTGTCGCTTAATATACTCACCAGTGTTCGGTATCGGTGATGTTGCGCTTCCATACAAGTTCTTCAAGTGATGCATGATGGCATCTAGGTCGCCACCAGTGACGATGGCTTCACAACCAACTATCACGGCCAGCACTAGAATCAAAACTGTCCGACACATCTGGAAAAATAAGATATTTCAGCTAGTTCTTCGGTCATTAGGAAATACCGTTACAGCCTAGAATAGAATAGAATATGTTTTTTATTCAATATTGGTTACATGTAATGCTTATTAAAAGTAATTTTTTCCTTTACCACTGGCATGAAAAAAGCTTCTGTCCTGGGAAGAACCAGCAAGAAACCCAGCGGGACTTTTAAAAAAATATTTTACATTGTCAATGGTCACAAAATATTTACAAAATTTATTTTAGAAACAGCTTGAAAGCGATCACCTCACTCCCAAGGCTTATTATCAACCATGTATTAATTTATATTATAATTAATCTATTAATAGAGTTTTTGTTTAATTAAATATTTAAATTTGGTAATAGAGAAACCTTGTATATATAGTTTCTGGGACTTTGTTGTAATAGCGTACACATTGCCCCAAGAATGTGACTCTGTGAAGACCCCGTGACTCTGTGGAGTCGAGAAACTGGTATCACTAGCTTATGTTTGTTCCTAGTGTTTACAGAATGTATATCACTTTTTATACTAAAAAGATTTGTCTATGTAGATATACTCAGAGGCCAAAGTTAATATATTCATTACTTTAATTTTTTTTCCAAGAGACTCGGTTTTAGGTTTTAGTTCTATTAAATTCCACTGCTGGACATAGGATATTTGCCATAGTTGCCACGCTTTACAAGCGGGTCGGCAACCTTAAAACTTAATTTTTAACCTTTAAACTTAATTTTTTTTAATTTTTTTCTTTTTTTTTCTTTAAAAAAGTATTAACAATGCTATAAACACTACTAACATTCCCCTTAACAATCGTGTGCTTATGTGAGTGGTTACTTTTTGGTGTGTTGGCTACTGTCGCTTCACGCGCTTTATTTTTTTTTCTTTAAAAAAGTATTAACAATGCTATAAACACTACTAACATTCCCCTTAACAACTCGTGGTAAGCTTAAATTGCTTGTGTTACGAGTGGTTCACGCCAGTAGTCGAATGGCGGATTCGAACCCACGACCTTTTTGAGTTCGCGGTCCGCGCCCTGCCATTAGGCTACTGTCGCTTCAACCGCAGCTTTAATTTTTTTTCTTTAAAAGTCTTAACAATGCTATAAACACTACTAAATTCCTTTTGGGTGCTTTTGATAGTCGACGACTTTTGAGTTCGCGGTCCGCGCACTGCCATTAGGCTACTGTCGCTTCAATCGCAGCTTTTATTTTTAGTCGATATTAGGAAGAAGCTGCTGTCCATCTCCTGATTTGTTTCATCAGGTAATGGGGATCGAATATTTTTTTATCACGTGTAAATTAAATGTGTCGGCTCTATCTATAAAGGGCTACGCTCGCATAGAATCATATTATTATGCTGCAGTGTTTTGTGTGGTGAGTGCCAAGAAACAGACTCTTTGGCCTCAGGTGTGACAACGCAACTGCATTTTGATTTTTACTTGAAGATAATGTATGTAATGTATCTGTGAACACGTACAGGATCGCCCCTGTCACTACCTCAGATTTGATAGACCGCAGATCCTCGCTAAAGAACACCGATTCCTTTCAAGGATGATTCGCGAGGCTATTGAAATCAAAAAACATCCTAATTTCAATAGAGAAGATGGCTGGGTGCTACCATCTGCTTGGGATCCTATAATAAATAAAATTAAATCCCAACCCAAGCATACAACTGCAAGACTTTAAGATACCATAAGTTTATACTGCATAGATCGGAACAAAAGTTAAATTTTAATCTATGGTAACCGCGCTTAACTACGACATATGGACGTTGAACATCTCAGTCCTGCCCGTGACCATGAGTGCTGTAAAGCGTTCGAAACGTCGGGTATTTAAAAAGTTAAAATATACGCGATAAATTCCGTAAAAACTAGTATTATTTCAATAATGTATCTGTGTCAAACAGACAACAGGTACTATTGGCTCGTTTGTCACCTTTATTTCTATAATAAAGCAACACCTTCCCGGTGCAGTCAACTTACTAAAGAACAGTTGCCGGCGAAGAACAAATGGTGATATATCGATTAGATAACACCAAAAACTCCTTTAGGAAACGATTTTACTACATGGTAGAGCCACACTGCAGCTATATTATAGTTGTAGCACGAATGGGTCGGCTCGACCGGGGAAGGATCATGCTCACACGGAATACCAGAGTAAAATAGCAGCGTATTGCTGCTGTTTCGTATGGTGAGCAGAGAACCGGAGACCCTTTTTACTGAAATCGAGGATTCCATCTTAGTCCTCAGGGATGACAACGCATTTGCATTTTGATCCTTAGTTGAGGATAAATGGGGATGGCTATGGCCCACAGCATCTACTTACTATCAGTGTGATCGTTTGTCACCCAATGCTATAAAAGTAAAAAGCTTATTATTTTTTTAAAAGCCGGCAACGTATCTGCAATTCCCCTTGTGTTGCAGTTTGTCGTGGGCAGCGGTAGACACTTACCTTTAGGTGAGTCCGCCCGCATGAGGAGATGTCCAAGAGATTTCCCCACAACAAAAACAACAGGGGGAGACGTTGGTAAAAGGAGAGAATTTTACGTGGTAGAGTCATGCAGCAGTTGTATTAGAAGTATAGTTGTAGTACAAATGGGTCGAATTGACCGAGGAAAGACCACGCTCTCACAGAATACCAGCGTGAAATAGCAGCGTAATGCTGCTGTTTCGTATGGTGAGTAGAGAACCGGAGACCCTTTTTACTGAAATCGAGGATTCCATCTTAGTCCTCAGGGATGACAACGCATTTGCATTTTGATCCTTAGTTGAGGATAAATGTGGATGTCTATGGCCCACAGCATCCACTTACCATCAGGTGGACTGTGTGCTCGTTTGTCACCTTATCCTATATAAAAAAGGAGGCACTCAATTGTTTTAACCTACCCATGAATTAACGCTTATATGGAGACTGCTTCTGTGCTTGTCGCCCGCCATACGAACACAGTAGTGGTATGCTGGTATTCTGCGAGCCGTCCCATTCGTGATACAACCGTTGTCTACTGCTGAACATAGGCCGCCCCCTTAGATTGCCTCATATTTGCCATAGTTGCCACGCTTGGCCGGCGGTATGGCAACCGTGTTTTTTTTAGTTTTAGTCACTAGGCAGACGATGCTGCCCACCTCATTTGGTTACCATTGTCGCCTCTTACCACGCCCACGGGATGATATGGGATAGTAAATATTCCTATACCGCCACAATATAGATGCAGCAAAAAAAAAAAAATAGCATAGATAATTACTAATGTATGCCACAGTTAACACCCAATGTTATATTACATCACTGGCTAATTACACGCTAATAAATGTAACAAGAGAAATAACATAAACAATTACATGTATAGCCAAAGTATTACAGGCATAATGATAAATTGTTAAATAGCTAGTAAATTGTAGATTTATAAGGACACATACGCGAAATACCGTAAACAATAAAACGTAAAAAAAAAAAAAAAAAAAAAAAATGTAAATACTTAAAAAAATATACGTATTATATAAATAAAAAAAATAAAACTCAGAACACACAAAAATAAAATAAAAGAATTACAAACACCCAGAAATAAATGGTGCTGTAAAATAAATAACAGCAGATGAATTGAGACTTCTAAAAAAAAAAAAAAAAAAAAAATATATAGATGCAGCGTGGCTGCCAGAGTCACGCTGCAGCTATATTATGATTGTAGCACGAATGGGTCGGCTCTATTGATGTAGGACCACGATCTCACAGAGTACCTCGTAAAATAGCAGCTTAATACTGCTGGGTTTCGTATGGTGAGTCTAGGGATCCGGAGACCTTTAGTTTGAAAAAACAAAAGTTAAAACAGAAACTTGTCTCCGAAAGTGGGTAATTTGTAAGTTTATAATGATTTAATAATAATGTTCTAATTTAACGATACTATAAATCACAGGTTTAATAGAAGATTAATGGGTTTTGAACGTTTGACGTCATGGATGTTAATTGATATTGAAGTAAATTATGTGAAAAAAAAAACAAGAAACTGTTTTACTGTCTGTGTTTTTTTAAACAGCAAAGTGAAACTGATTTTGTTTAATGTCACTAAGAAAACAGTACGTTGGATGGGAATTAAAATCAGGGTTACATGAAGTTCGGTTCCACCATAAATTATCCAAAACCCTGTCAATTAAGCTAACTAATAAGCCATAAAGCTAATAACCTATATTGGTAGATTTATCCTAAAATAATGAAAATATCTAAAAGTGGAAACACTATACGGACGCACGGCACGCATTGGTGGTCGCATTGGTGCTCCATAAACATTTTAGCACCAATGAGTTGGTGCCATTTTGTTTGTTCCTGTCAACTTTAAGAAAGCTAAAGCCCTACCTATATTAGTAGATTTACCTTAAAATAGAGCAAAATATCTAAAAGTGGAAACACCGCACAGACGCACGGCACGCATTGGTGGTCGCATTGGTGCTCCATAAATATTTTAGCACCAATGAGTTGGTGCCATTTTGTTTGTTCCTGTCAACTTGAAGAAAGCTAAAGCCCTACCTATATTAGTAGATTTACACTAAAAGAGAGCAAAATATCTAAAAGTGAAAACACTGCACAGACGCACGGCACGCATTGGTGGTCGCATTGGTGCTCCATAAACATTGTAGCACCAATGAGTCGGTGCCATTTTGTTTGTTCCTGTCAACTTGAAGAAAGCTAAAGCCCTACCTATATTAGTAGACTTACCTTAAAATAGAGCAAAATATATAAAAGTGAAAACACCGCACAGACGCACGGCACGCATTGGTGGTCGCATTGGTGCTCCATAAACATTTTAGCACCAATGAGTTGGTGCCATTTTGTTTGTTCCTGTCAACTTGAAGAAAGCTAAAGCCCTACCTATATTAGTAGATTTACACTAAAAGAGAGCAAAATATCTAAAAGTGAAAACACTGCACAGACGCACGGCACGCATTGGTGGTCGCATTGGTGCTCCATAAACATTGTAGCACCAATGAGTCGGTGCCATTTTGTTTGTTCC